GTGTGTGTAATGCATGTATGTATATATTTATACATATATATATATATATATATATATATATATATATATATATATATATATATATATGTATATATATATATATATGTATGTATATATATATATATATATAATATATATATATATATATATATATGTATGTATATATATATATATATATATATATATATATGTATATATATAATATATATATATATATATATATATATATGTGTGTGTGTGTGTGTGTGTGTGTGTTTATCATATTCATTTTTCTTTTATTGTAGTTTAGTCCGATTCTTATGAGTTCGCTTTATTGCCTGGTAATAATATTTGTCTTTTACGACCGGATGCCGTTCCTGACGCCAACCCTCTCTATTCCCCCGGGCTTGGGACTGGCACTGACTGGGCTGGCTTGATTAAAAATGTCATTAATAATCCTTGTTTTCATGATTATCATTATCGCAATTTTCCTTGTCATTATCATAATTATTGTGACTATATTCTGTCACAATTTCTAGTGTTCTGCTGTGAGAGTCTGCTGCTCCGTAGCCCAGGGGGCGCCTGACGCAATTTGAAAATATATTATGGTTCCCCCTGAATAACCTCGAACCCCATGAGTGGTAGCGGGCAAAGGAGGGGTTCTTGGCTACGTGGGTAGTATGGTACCGTTTCACCGGGCTTTCCCCGCATGATAAAATATAAACTCGATATACAATACTAAATATAAAAAGTTAAATAAAAACAGACTGGCCTTATTACTTTATAAAAAACGACTTAAAATCAATTAAGAGGCCTGTATATAAAATTAGATTTAATTTACATTATTCATGCACCATTCTTCTAATCACTATATAAATCGAGTTCATCCGACTCCTAATTAATAAAAGAATCTGTCAGGACACGTAACTTTCCTGTAGTATCTGGCGGGCTCCGTTGCTGCTAAAACCGGCTGCAAATTCAGTCATCCAAGTAGGGATGGATAAAAACACAGATGTTGCTTGTACCAAGGGCGGGGACCGACTGTATTTTGCGGGAAACAAGGGTGTCGTGACATCACGGTCATACATCTTTAAAATCTCCAAAATATAAAAGATCTATAAAACTTAAGAATACAACAGAATAAAACTTGTTTGTCTCATGAACATAGAAAACGAGTTAAATAGTTACTCGAATAAATAAAACGGAAAAAAACAGACCCAAATGGGTACGACTAAAGAAAACCAAACTCTTAGAAAGCGTAAATGAAAATAAAGAGAATGTAAAGTATAAAAAAAACACACAGGAGAGAGGACACGCGACAGGTAAGTAGCCTCCGAGAGCGGGAGAGCGAGAGGGTTGCGGGAGGCTGCGGTGTCGAACACAACTCTTACTCTGTCACAGTTTGTGACTACATTCTGTCGCATGGCAGCGGAGGCGTTTCATGACATTCCTTTGCGGCGTCTGCTGCCTGGTGCGCTGGCTTTCCTCTGCTTGAGCAAGTTTGGCGCGCTTCTCGTGTTCTTCAGCAAGCTTCGCGGCTTTTCCCTCCGCCTTGTTTAGGTGGAGGAGGCGATGACCTAGGCTGTGCTTGCTCCTGGCAGGGTGCTGCTCTTGCTTGCCCTTCTCGCCTGGCGCACCGCGGAGGGGCTGGACCTGCTGAGCGCGGTCCCGCTGAGCCTTCTTGACGGCTTCCTTCTGCCCCTTCTTCGGCCTCCAGCATCTTCGTCAGATCATAGAGCCGAATGCCAGAGCGACTGCATGCACACCCAGTGCTTGCTCTTCTCAGCAGCGAGCTCCTTCCCTGCGTCGGAGCCCAGTGGCAGGGATCCCAGGGCGGTCCTTCTCAGACTCTCGCCCATACATACATACACCATTTCATTTTCATTTGTATTACGGTTACCGTTGTACTTAATTTCTAAGATATTCAGTGAAAATTACAACTGCCACCCGCACTTGAAGGCCTACAAGCAATACACTGTGTAAACGACGCTGTTGCTATGGGAACGGTACATCGCTTGGCTTCTAACGACGTATTCACATAGCAAGATAGCTAAGGCCCAATTAGGTGATCTATGGGCGCAATGCTCAAAATAGCAAGATAAAGGCTTGAGATTCTTGCCAAGTGAATTGCTTCCGTAAAACACCCTATTGATATATATTTCATTTCCAAACTTATGGTATTTGTCCTTGTTTGTCGATATTTATTTACCTATTTTCATACGTATTTCATGTAAATAAACGATGAGCTACAGGCCAGAAAAGTGTTGTCATTGCACTCATTCAACATAAAAGTTTGAAAGGTTTTCTGTGCTTTTCGTCTGGCATCTACCATATATGAATGCCGCGCATCTGGTATCAGTCAGTGAACCGGAAAAGTTGCCACTTGCCTTGTAAATAAAGCGACAAACTCTTCGTCCCCTCCTTGCCTAAAGCTAACAGTACACCTGTTTATGTAAATGTTGGAAACAGAAACCCAATAGTGAATCGCCATCTTCGTCAAGAGAGAACTAACCAAAAAATCATTCGTAGTAAGCTAATGAAACCTACTGGTGGCTGGTTTCGCTTGTAATGGAACCCCATGACACGCTAGTCTGAATTCTTTCCTGGTATCCAAAGCTCCCGGCCTTGAGTCTCCACGCCAGGCAAGGAATTCCCTGCGTCATACATGGCATGGGATTACAGAACTCATATCTTCTCACACGTGAAAATGTTTGTCTTTACTCAATCCCGACGACTCAATGGGAAGAAAATATACTGATAGGCAGAAATAAAGATGAAACCTGCATTTGACTGTGGATTGCATTACGTGCCTTATCAGAGTCTCAAAAAGGAAATTTATCATCGGGTATTGAGATCTATTGTATAGCTATGAATCGCAATTACAGTGGATCTTAAAGGCTCACACAAAATAAGATCACCTGCCTTTAGTATATACATCAAGGAAGTCCCGAATGTGATATAATGTACCCTCTCCTCATAGGCCCTGGTCTATTTGTGCTTAATTGAGGCCTTGAACTTAAACGAGGTACTTGAGGACCCCTTTGCGTTGCAGTGGACATGCATGTCTGGCTGGCAACAGGGACGGTGCAAACATGGCCTTCGTTATCCTGGTGAATGCCCTGCTGTTCTCTGTCGAGCTGCAGTCCCGTGCATTTCGTCGCGTAGTTCCGTGAATAATAAGAACAGTGTGTATGCTGGATTAGGTTTAACATGTACGTATAGCATGTTCTTGTTTCATCTGTGATCGTCTCATCATTCACGCAGTTCAAGCTCTTAGGCACAGAGCCATGCGTAAACAAACGCGAGACGCATACTAATAAACACACTCCATAAAGAATGTTGCTCGCCTGACTACGTCACGTGTCTTCTTATCAAGACCAGAGTACATTCGCCTCACAGAGAGCATCTTATTCCATATACAAGACATGGTTGCAATTCTGATAACACAAGGATGACGCTGCAAATTATCTCTCATGAGACATCTGCTCCCATCTTTTGGGGGTGCATGTCCCATTTTATGTATGCATACGCATGCGCACGTGTAATTCTCTCTCTCTCTATTTATCTCTATCTATCCCCCCCCTCTCTCTCTCTCTCTTCCCTCCCCCTCTCTCCTATGTATCTCCCCTCTCCTCTCTCTCTCTCTCTCCTCTCTTCCTCTCCCTCTCTCTCTCTATCCCCCTATCTCTCTCTTATTTCTTGTCTTTCATATGATTATCGATATCAGTCTTTTTTGCAGACCAAATATGTAAATAATTTAAGTAAAATAGCACAGTCGTTCTGGCATGTAAAAATGGTTATTTGACTGATAGCCCCCGACATGGAGAAGCAACTTGGATATATATGCTTTGGAATCTTTTAGCAGGGCATGTACACTACTCTGTAAATGAATTTCATCAAATCAAATCAGATCTAAATCATTCGCGATTTTTTTTTTTCCATACTTATTATATTGATAATCGTAGGTAAAACTAATTTCTAAATGTATGATTGACAGCAGTGGAATTCCATAACGCTGGTAAACTGTCTCATGACACAAATCCAAAGCTGGAGCTCTGTTGAACGTCTTTTCCTTATTTTTAATCCCTATTGGATACACGAAAGAACCTCTAAAATCCTGTTTAATTTCAGTCCTGCTTTCTTGTAATGTGTTCCCATTTTCTTTTTCAAATGATGCGCGTACATTACGTTCTTTAAGGGGTCACTTTTTCATTATCGTATAATCTTTCGGGGAAATTTGGAAATGCAACCCCACAGGCTATTTTGCACGAATAAAATAATTTTCCGATAGCTTTCGTCGTGTTTCGAACGAATGTAGCACTCATTTCTTTCGCAAACGAAGCATAGCTACGATATCGGTCCCGATAGTTGGGGAGGGCAAGATACATATGGGGGGGGGGGTAATTTCGAGAAATATTGGTAAAACACTAGCAATAATAGTATATCGACACATTTCCTGATTGTAAAGGGGGCTCCGTCCCCTTAAACACCCTTTCAAGGGGGGCAGCCCCCCCACCCCCAGCCTAATCTGCAAAATCTTCACCTCGTATGTTCCGGCAGGAGAGCCCAGACCCAGGAACAGTTCAACCACGTCTTACCTTATGCACTAACTCCAGACGGGCCAGGTTGCGGGTCAGGGATGGTCAGGGTCATCCACGTCATTGTTGGCGGGAATTGCGATCGCTATCCGCCGTTCCTTCTCGGACAGCGGAGGGTACAGCTTCCCGCCGAACACCCATATCTGGCTCAGCAGCTTCCCCCTCTCATATTTACGCTTGCCAAAGAGTGTCTCGGAGCAAAAGCTTCGCCAGACCACGCTCATGCACCCCATAACGGTCTGATGATCCCAGTGTTTGCTTAGCCAGTGATTGATGAAGGAGAGTATTTGGTAGGGTACAAGTCTAGTTCCCGAGAGAAATGTCACTTTGTAATCGCTTACCGTGTAAATGCACTGTTTTCTCCGTTTTCTTTGCGATCTTTGTCCATGCACCACAAACCCACTGGTGTCTGTCTTTTCTATAATGACACGGTGTCTTGCAGTGCGGGCACTGGACTTCCACTGGAAGAACACCGTGATCTCGCAGATATTGCAAACTAGCTTCGTTATTGCGATGATATTTTGCGAGAAAGTCGAAATAATTGTTCTTACAAGCTGCGCACTGTGTAGCCATGATTAAACTGATTTGAATTTCAACTGCTTTCTCCTAGGCCCAGCTTCTATTGTCACGTGATGATATATTCCATTTCTGATTGGTTCTATTGAATGTCTATGGTCACGTCACGTTCACGAACGAATGTAATTGGCTCATTTGATTTCCCGCGCATACGTCATCCGCTACAAATCCGTTCGACTTTTCGTCCCTCTTAACGACTTTTTGTCATTTTGTCGAGGCGCTGGAGGCGTAAGGTTACTGCGGCTCCTGGAAATCGTGAATATTATGCCCTCAATGACTCCGTTATTATCAACTTGCGAGGAAAATGGTATAGAAGAAAACTATCATAGAATGATGTGTTCTACCACATGGTAAGCTCAGATTCTTATTATTAGGTGTGGGGTTGCATTTCTAATAATACCATAGGAAATTTGGAGGGTTGCATTTCCAATAATACCATATTTCACTGCATGCGTTACATCCCCATAAGCAGGATCATAGAGATTTCATTACAATGCATTACGTATTTCTTGATAACAATGTGCCTATGAAGGATAACCAGGTTCGGGTTTAAGCTATATCAAATTCATTACCATACCGATCAAAGAAAGCATTTGGGCCACACCATAATATTGTCACGCTGTATTCCTAACAAGATTAAATCTCCTAATAGGGTTTTTTTTAACCGGCAGATGGCTCAGGGGAAGAAGTGGGGTCGCGGGGAGTACTGGGGTCTCAGCTCCGACTACGACCCCGACTGGGTGCTGACGGAGAGCCAGAAGAAGCTACGAGCCGACTTGATGGAGCTCTGCAGGACCAAAATCAGACCTCATGCAGTGAGTATTGTTAAAAGACATGAAAGTAAACATGGGTTACTTTTGTTTTGATTCCTCTCTCTCTCTTTCTTTTTTGCTTATACGATCTGTTTCATATATATATATATATATATATATATATATATATATATATATATATATATATATGTATATGTATATATATTGTTTTGTTTTGTTTTTATAGATTCACTGCGACCGCACCTACACCTTCCCTCGCGAGTCTCTAGATGCCATGGCGGAGCTGGGTCTGCTTGGCCTCATCGTGCCCAAGGAGTTCGGCGGCCTCGGCGAAAACCACGTGTGCTGCACCATGGTGTGTGAGACCATCGCGCGCTACGGCTGCCCCTCCACGGCCATGGTGTATAGTAGGTTCATTTAGGCAGCCACATATATAGGTTGTTTTTTAGTATAGTGAGTGGATTGTTGTTACAGTTCCTCCACGTCGCCGTCGACTTGGCTTTGTCTGTAACGATATAGTCCGGCTACATGAACACCGTACCCACCGACAGTTATCAGCTTCACATTTGCCGTATACACATGCCTATTTATAAGCCTTTCTCCACAGCCATGCATCTGGGCGCCGTGTCCACCCTGCTCTTCCGCTACCACAACAGCCCCATGGCCCAGGACCTCCTGCGACGCCTCGACAAGGAGAAGCTGGTCGGGACGCTCTGCTACTCCGACCCCGCCACAGGTGCTTCTGGAGTAGAGGAATTTTATTTCTATATCTATATACCATATTGATATATACACACATATATCTGTGTTTGTGTGTGTGTGATTTATTCAGTGGTCATTAAACGAGACTATTCCGACCCTATTATCTCGTCAGTTCGATCCATTAGCATCTTTGAGACAATCCTTAACCCTTTCGATATGCGATCCAGACAACCAGCATTAAACCGACCACCTTTTAGACCTTGACCCCGACTTCTCTCCCCAGGCGGCCACTTCTGGTTCCCTCTGTCGTCGAAGGTCAAGTGTCTCGACGAGAAGAACATCCAGCTGCTCAAGTACGGCTCGTGGGCGACCAGCAGCGGCCACGCGGACTGGTACACCATCCAGACCATCAGCCCGAACTTCAACGGAGACTATTCCAACCTGTCGTGTTTCCTCGTGTACAAGGTAGGTGTCTTGGTTGGATTTTGGTGTGTCGAGTCATTTGTTAGGTATCTGTTTGTTATATCAAGGCATTTGTTATATATCTTAATCAAGGCATTTGCAAGGCATTTGGCAAGGCATTTGTTATGTTCTTATGTATTTTAATCAAGTCATTTATTGTTATCAAGTTAGGTATCTTATTTTGTTATATCTTAAGCAAGGCATTTGTTGTTTCTTAAGTTTGTTATGTTTCTTATCAAGGCATTTGTTTGTATTTTAATCAAGTCATTTATTGTTATGTATGTTCATCAAAGCATTTGTTAGGTATCTTAAGCAAGGCATTTTTTATATCTTAAGCAAGGCATTTGTTATGTTTCTTAAGCAAGGCATTTGTTATGTTTCTTAATCAAGGCATTTGTTAGGTATCTTAATCAAGGCATTTGATATGTTTCTTAATCAAGGCATTTGTTAGGTATCTTAATCAAGGCATTTGTTGTATCTTAAGGCATTTGTTATGTATCTTAATATTCAAGGCATTTGCAGCTATATACCTTCATAAAGTGATTTATTAGTGTATATCTTAGCCAAGTCATTTATTGGTATGTTTTAATTGAGTGGTTTATTCTCATTAATATCAATCTAACAAGTACTCCATACAACATATGGAGTCATTCTTTGTTCTGTGTGTCTCACTATATAAGTAATTCTCAACTAGGGATAAAAATTCCCCCTGAGTTGAAATGGGCACGAAGTGCATAGGTATTCTGGTTAGATATACGTAAACCGTAATTTTTATTTTCTCTTTTGAACTCTCACTCTCCCTTTCTCTCTCTCTCTCTCTCTCTCTCTCTCTCTCTCTCTCTCTCTCTCTCTCTCTCTCTCTCTCTCTCTCTCTCTCTCTCTCTATATATATATATATATATATATATATATATATATATATATATATATATATATGTATATATTTTTTTCTTTCTTTCTTTCTCGCTTCTCTTTCTCTTCTCTCTCTCTCTTCTCTCTCTCTCTCTCTCTCTCTCTCTCTCTCTCTCTCTCTATCTCTCAATCTCTATCTCTTTCTCTCCCTCTTTCCCTCCCTCCCTTCCTCCCTACCTGCCTTTCCTTCTATCTCTTCTCCCTTTCCCCCTGCCCTTTCCTTCCCCATCCCCTCTGCCCTCCCCTCCCTCTCAGTCTCTCCCCTTCCCTCTCCCCTTCTTAATCTCACTCCCTCCCTTCTCTCTTCTTTCTCAATGTAGATTACCTGCATGAAGTAATCTGCGTGTAGTATTCTCCCTCTCTGTTTCTTCTCTCTTTCTTCTCAGCACACACACACACACACACACACACACACACACACACACACACACACACACACACACACACACACACACACACACACACACACACACACACACACACACACACACACACACACACACACACACACAGCACACACACACACACACACACACACACACACACACACACACACACACACACACACACACACACACACGGTATTATTCTCAAACGCCGCTAGTCTTAGCCGCCCCCTTCCGTTGCCTGCTGCAGGATGAGGTGCGCGCCAAACCGACGACTGGGACGCCCTGGGCATGCACGGCAACATGTCCGGCCCGCTCATCATCGAGGGCAAGTTCAGCCTGGACAGGATGGTCGGCCCCCCCGGCGACGGACGCAAGGTCAGTGGGAGGGGGGGAGGGGGTAGCAGGAGAGGCCCAGGAGTGTGACGATGATTGGGATACATATATAGCCTGATGTAAAGGCGTGTGTGAGCAAAGATAGCAACACTACAACGTGTTAAAAAAAAAATATATATCCACAGTAAGCAAAAATGATAAGGCATAGCTTTCCTAGAGCGTGTGAGGGTGCGTGTGTATGACGTGTGTGTGTGCGTGTCACACCTCTTACACACCCAAATAGATCCCGTCCCCAGAGCAACGACGAGTGCGTGGACCCGTACTTCCTGATGAACACCTCCGGCGTGTGGAACGGCATCTCCCTCGCCTGCATCGACGTGGCCAAGAAGCACGTGACCCGCAAGGCGCACGCTGACGTGGGGATGCGGGTGTGCGACTACCCGACCATCCAGGTGAGGCGCCCGTTATGTGTGCTCGGTTCTGTCCACCATCATGCGGCCATTGAACTTATTCCGAAAAAAAATTGTATACAGTAAGCATGTCATTTTATACACGTTCCTTCACGAAAAGACGGAAAATTCGACAAAAAAAAATAAAATAGATAAAAAAAAAAATATAATAGAAATAAAAAAAAAAAACCCAGAGATCAAGAAATCCCCACGCGAAACATGTCTAACCCTCTCCAAAAATCCCCCTAAGCAACGGCGTAATCCTCCCCCTCCGACAGGATTACTTCGGCGAAACGGTGTGTGAGACGAACTCCTCCCGAGCGCTGGTCTACCTCCAAGCGCAGGCCCTCGACCAGGTGACCAACAACAACGACTGGTCGCTCTACAAAGACTTGAATTTCCTTCCGAGGTATGTGGGTAGCGCTAAGTCCTCTGGTTACCAATGACGAGGAGAACTGTAATTGAATGGGGTGAGAGGAGGAGGACTGAATGAGTGGTAGTTTGAGTGCGTTACACTGTGTGCGCGTGAGAGTGTGAGTGAGTGAGAGTGAGTGAGTGAGAGAGAGAGAAGAGAGAGAGAGAGAGAGAGAGAGAGAGAGAGAGAGAGAGAGAGAGACAGACAGACAGAGAGACAGAGAGACAGACAGACAGACAGACAGAGACAGAGAGACAGAAAGAAAGAAAGAAAGACGAAGAAAGAAAGAAAAAGTCTAGAAGAGATAACCCCATGCATCACCAAGCTCACACAGCTCCTCTCCCCAGGGCCGGCTTCCTCCACTGGCTCTGGCAAGCCAAATTCATCTCCGCCAAGAACGTGACACGCGTGACCGACACGATGCTCCACGTGTGCGGCGGCTCCGGCTACAAGGTACGCCTCTCCTTTTCCGATTTTCTTCGAGTAATTGTCAGCTGGAAGTAGGGCGAACGTAATGCTTACTTATGTTGCATTCACAAGGATCTGTGAGTATAGAAATGGGAATTGGCAAAGTAGCGTAGCGTAATTACTGATTGATTCAGAATTTTAAGAAGAAAATAATTAAAAAAAATAGATACTTTGTGAAAACAGGTGTTTATTCCAAGGCTCCATGGCCCACCTCTATAAATAGAAGTTACGACAAAGCCTTTTCCAAGCGTTCACACAGAAGCCTGGCTTTCGCAGACCGACCTGGGCCTCGAGCGGCTCCTGCGCGACGGCAAAGCGGGCTGGGTGATGGGCCCGTCCAACGAGGTGCTGCGCCAGTTCGTGGGCAAGACAGCGCTCAACAACATCGACTGCATCGATTACTGGTGAGCCATATCGACAAGCGACTTCTGCATTCGTTCACTTATTTGTTATCGGATTTTTTTTGTTACCTAAAAAACTACATCCATTTTACATTAGGATAGAACTACATAATCCTCCTAATTATACTCGCTGGGGAATATATCATTCCTGGTGCAAATACTGCAACTACACGTTTGTGTGCTCTGTATTGGCCATATTAAGTATTTGTGATAATTACTAGTGTTAAAGAGTCTGAACGATTATTACGTAATATCCAAACCAAACAATGACTCGTAGGGACCAATGGCCGAACGAGCGAGTCGTCCACCACGAGCTCAAGAAGATGAGCATCAGCAAGCGCAAGGAACTCGCCAAGACGCTTTTGGAGGAGGCGGAGATCGAGGAGAGGGGAGAAGAGGCCAAGCATCCCTTCCAGGACACCGACTTCGAGAATCCCTTCAACACGTGTCCTCCAGCGGTCAACAGTAAGGTAAACATCTGTCTCTCGCAACACTGATTGGAAAACGATTGCTCTTCCATTATGGGTCTAAGTATCTCCACCCTTGAGAGTATGAGTAAGAAATAGTATAAGAGAGAGAGGGGGGGGGAGAGAGTATCTAATAGCGCATTGCATTTTATGTCATTCACGCCAACGGAATCTCAACGCTTGACCTACATGCACAGGTGCTGAAGACGAAGGACGGCGTGAGCCACGGGCCCTCCCTGAAGCCGGACTCGTGGGTGCCCCTCACCCTCAAGACGCACACGCCCGTCAGTGACAAGATGGCTTCCTTCGTCTTTGCTCTGCCCAAGGAGACCGACCACACAGGATGCTTCACCGGCCAGTACATTGTGGTGAGTAGCAATGCGACCTCTGAGGTGTCTGTTTATATATGTAAGCAATTATGTATATATGAATGGTTGCAAACATGGCTGTAGGCTTGAAGGTCAAGTATGTATGCATGGGATAGAGAGCGAGTGGGAGATTAAGAGAGATAATGGAAGGAAGAGGGAGGGGGGGAGAAAGAGAGGGATATACCCACATATATGTATATATACGTATACTTTCTCAAAAGGTGCGTGTGAACATCAAAGGAAAGGAGCATCAGCGCTACTTCTCGCCCGTGTCGCGTCCGGACGACTTCGGGCGCATCGAACTCGTGCTCAGGTTCGAGTCCCAGGGCCTCATGTCCCAGCACTTCAAGGCTCTCAAGCCAGGTGAGTCTCCCGGCCCAGCATCTCAAAGTTCATGGTGTTCTGTAAGGGAACGCCTTTATGAAGTTTAATTTTCGGAACTTGTGAATGGAATAGGAAGTAAATTTAGCTGTGAATGAAATACCATTGAGAATAAGGTTATAAAGCTAATCAAATGAGCGTTTCCAGGTGATAAGGTGGAGTTCCAGGGCCCCTGCGGAGGCTTCGAGTACGAGGCGAACCAGCTGGACGAGGTGACGCTCCTGGCCTCGGGCGGAGGCATCACCCCCGGCATGCAGCTCATCCGCGCCGTCATGCACAACCCCGACGACAAGACCAAAATCAAGCTCCTCTACTTCTCAGAGAATTACAACGAGATCCTCTACCGGGAGGAACTTGATGGATACGCAGGTAAACATAGGATAGAAGAGGATGCATACATGTACGATGGCACAGTTAGCAATTGATGTTTCTCTTGGGTAGTCCATATAATACATAACCTCATTCTTCAAGTGACAGTGTGGAGCTAAACCGTGATTTCTCTTTTTCAGCGAAAGATTCACGTCTGGAGATAGTACACACGCTCGGAGAGACGCCCGAGGGATGGGAGGGCGAGGAAGGCTTCATCGACACGCAGATGATCGACAAGCACGTGACCAAACCCAACGGCATCAAGCACAAGGTCTCCCACAGAATAAACACTCGCTATAGATGAAAAATAACCTTTGGTGCACATATATTTCCCCTTGACTTACTGTTCCTTTTCTTTCTTCTGTGAGAGGAACACTGAGAGAGAAAATACAGCCTCCATTCCCGTGTTTCAGATCATCATGTGCGGAGGCCCTACGATGAGCATCTCGTGCCTCCACTCCCTGCGGTCCCTCGGCTTCCCCTCCAACTTCATCTTCATCTACGGCCAGTTCGGCACCGAGCAGGTCAGGACGGTCTACGGCAGGAACGTGCAGCTCTCCGGCCACCGCTGCGACAACGTTCTCTAAAAAGGCGGTTTCCACCCAGAGGAATAGAAGTAGTTCTTTTTTTTCTTCATTGGACTAATGATATACTCCTAACAATTTAGTTCGGCATAAATGTTGTAATGGAATCTATTAAATGGTATAATATTCTATGTGTATTATTTTCTCAGTATGGAAAATGAATGCATTCAAAATATACAAGGTATATACAGTAGAATTCGCAAGAGTTAATCTTCTTTCAGCTTGAAGTCTTTGGTGTAAAAGAAAACACCAAATAAAAGAGATATATAATAAGAAAAGAATGAAACCCTCCCGTAGTATTCAAAAGGATAAAGTGAATGGAATAATATGATAAGCAACTGCGACGATAATGACCATAGTCTACGTCACCTCAACACATATCCGTCACATTCAATCCTAACTTAACCAAACCCAATCTGTCAAAATCTTTTTTTTTCGCCAGAACAGATTTATGAGCAAATATCATCCCGACTAAAGAACATTTCGGAATATTGCTGATATGTATATGAATTAATTTTACAGTTCCTATTTAGTTTTATACATCGAATTAGAGTATTACTAACAATATATTTAAGTTACCCCTACAATACGTTTTCTATGTACACGCGCCACCAAACGGCTAGTATATAAACTAATAATTCCTCAAGCAAGATCTTAATTAAACAAGCAGCATCTTTTGCTCTGTTTATGGGAAGGGGAAGGAGGCCAAAGGAAAGGGGGATTTAGTGTACCTTCATGCTCGCTGAAAGCTCATTAAAACAGGCAAGCAAACGCAAGCAAATGTCTTCTTGATTTAGTGTAGAGTTGGCCGGGAAATTAATCTAATAACGGTTCGAGGTCACTTACTAAACTATTGATATATGATAAGAAGGTTGGTTTTCGCATGATATCTTTACCGTGCGAAGTTGAATAAACGATAGAGCTAAAACTTAATATTCCTGCATGCGCACACTAGCACACACTAATACATATATACATACATACACATTATATGTATAAAGATAGATACAGACATATATGCATGTGCATATAAACACATTTATAAATGAATATATATATATATATATATATATATATATATATATATATACACATACATACATATATGTGTGTGTGTGTGTGTGTGTGTGTGTGTGTGTATACATATATATAATATATATTTGTAAATCCTCCTTGCAACAGTGTACACAGGTGAGAAAAAGATGGCAGTGCTGGTCACTAACACTTAGAATGTCCGTCTTCCTGCTGTTGATAACTAAAACGCAACACTCATCGATGCAGTGCGGCACTAGGAAGGTGGCATGAGGCTAGCTAGGGTGTGACACTCTTCACGTGCGATGAAAATTGCAGTCTCTTTAGCACAACATCCGTGCATGCGTTTGTCTCAGTCCGTCTCCCTTCGAGTCCCTCTCCTTCGCGCCTCTTTTTCCCGCCAAAAACGGACATCGCGATCGCAAACAGCGTTCACAGCAATATATATATAATCACACACACAACACACACACACACACACACACACACACACACACACACATATATATATATATATATATATATATATATATATATATATATATATATATATATATATATATATATATACACACACACACACACACACACACACACACACACACACACACACACACACACACACACACATATATATATATATATATATATATATATATATATATATAATATATATATATATATATATATATATAGTTTTTGCCGCTCGTCGTTCTCAGTTTACCTAAGTTAACAATTCACTCAGTGGTAGTCAGCGTATCGAGCGAATCCTGTTGAGAATCACTTAAGCACACAGATGCTTAACCTTCAACAGTTTCTGCCGTCACAGTGATGGCACTACCATGTCTATTTAGCTGGGGACGTAATTGAAGGTGTGAGAAATTCATTGAAGAATTTCTATCCTTGTTTCCACTTCTTTGTAGGTAATATTCGGCTACTAACATCTAAAATTTATTATATAGAAACTTCCAATTTCATAATATTTTGGTCTTGTTCTCTTTTGTCTTTTGTCTACTGCCCTCTGTCTGCAGTGTTGGGACAGTTGTGTGTCGTATATGTAATCATGTCATTGAAGTTGTTTAATCCCTTCTTGAAAAAAGTGGACAAATAAAATTACTACTAGTCATTAATGTTCATGCATGTTAACAAATAATAATTCCTTTTAAAATGAAAAACCTGGGATATCATTGTCATTTTTCCTTTTTCTTAACAGGCAGAGAGAATTTAAGTGAAAGCCTTTTCTGCCTTTGCCAATAACAACGTATTTTTAGTCTAATTATTTTCAAAAACCTAAATTTATTTTTTCAATAACACACATTCATCACTGCTTTCTATTTTGTATAAACTCTTAACTGATGTGTTTTCCACGAACTTGAATTAGCACGGTTCTCTTAAATATTTATATGTTGAAACGAAGCATCAACCAACGAGGTTTGCCAAATAGCCTCAACACCTCGGACTTCGTTGAGCTAATGTGATCCTAATGGGCTCTTATATAACGGAGTATGTCATTCTACGCTATTAAACACTTATTAAACAATGTAGAAAACAATGGATTTATTTCTCCTTGTGGAATTAGTTCGCCGAAACAAATGTGAAAATTGAAAGAACGGTTTCCCTCCGAAAACGACGGGATCTGGAACGTTTGCAAAATCAGAATTGTGTATGCACTTCTTTGGCCTGCGGTAATACACTCAAGACTTGCCCCTCAAGATTCAGAAAAAAAAATTATATAAGTTCTAATGTCATACCCTGGGTGAAAATGGTCCCAAATCCCCCAAAACGTTTCTGCCCGTATCACAAGGGGACTTGGTTTCAAATATGAATTGCACGAGTGACCGAAAACTAGCGACGAGCGAGCAGTGTTCACTGAAGGAGAATATGCAGTGCTCATTCAGTGTGCGAGGATCAAACCAGCACCATGCATTGCCAAACAGATGAAGCACTTCTCGATTACCTAAATTATTCATCAACATCAGGCCTGGGAAAAGTCAGCTCTATTGCTTCATGTCAAGGGGCTCGTGTATCAATGTGATGTAATAGTCAAGGACAATCCCATCAAGATTCTGCGCCAAGATATATTTCATGGAAGCATTTATGCCAGTTGACTACCATAGCTTCTCAAGAATATAAATACTAGTTACTATAAAGGATAATCATATTTTAAGAAGGAAAGAAGGATTACAATGCTTTCATGTAATTTTCCTCGAGTTTCTATTTCGCAGAATCTGAACTGCTATTTCAGAAGGCACGGAGATCGGTTTCAGTTCTAAGTATAGTAAAGGAAAACTGTATTGGAAATTATTGCATTACTTACGAGTCCCATTTCCTTCAGTTTGTATTTCAGAAGGTAATTGCTATTACAGAAGGCCTGGGGATCTCCTTAACCCTGCCACGTCGGGCGATGTCTTAAGACTTTCCGAAAAGGGCCAAAGAGGCCGGGTTACGTCTTCAACAATTTCTTGCCTTTATATTTTCATATATCGTCACCCTAATAAAATAGTTGCCTGTCACTTTTACTGCTTTTCGGGGAATTGCCTCATCTTCTTGTAATGTTTATGACAAACATTATAATTTTTGCATGTATTGTTTTTTTTTCTAAATAAATCTAAGTGAACTGATTTAAACAATCTGTATGTATATCAGAAATTTAATCATATTGGAATATGGTATTTGTGATCATGCTATACCTTTATATATGTTCATAACTGCATGTCTTTATACTCATCGTCTCTCTCAATAGACAGGCCTTTGTTTACATCACGCGTGGAAGATTACAACGGATGCTCAGTACATTATATCCAAGATTAAAGCATTCTGGTCACAAGTTAAGTCTTTTCAATGACCCATGTGATATGTGAACATACATAATCTTACTGTAATGTTTACATATCACTTAGGCACAATTCTGTAACACCAGTACACGAGGGAAAAAAAACTTGGATCTTCTTAAAAGACTCCAAATATTTATATTGCTTATATTCACACTGCTGCTGGTTACCACAAAGGCGAAATCACAAGAGCATTTAATTTCCAAGAAATCTACTGGAGGCTGCATGGTCCTCGCAAAAGCACAGACAACAATTTTGTAGATTTTGTGTAAGGAATAACGGTCAGATGTGGATAAACTCTTGCTCATCCAAACACTCGTATATATGTATGTATGAGTGTTTGTCAGAATTTTAAAATCATTTTCAAACACGCACCAAACCACAGCCTTGTAAAAGAAATGACGAAAGATGTAACTAAAATACGTAATAAATGTTTCATACTTTCATTTAGATTAGTTTCTAGGTTGTTCGCCTGCACGCGCCTCCGAACGATGCTGGGGCTGGATTTTACGGAAATTCGTCTGCTAAACGGATTTTTTTTTCTATGGCTGTATGTTTTTTCTATGGCTGTATTTTTGTTATTCTTAATGGCTACAGGTGGTTTGATGCAAATAAAGGTATTTAGAGCAATATTGAGATATTTTCTCATGTTAAAATTAACTCAACATCAAAATTGCTGAAATCATCCTGGTATATAATGTGGGAGACCGAACGTCATCACACTCACTGTGAATAGCCGTATACTTTTTAATTAGATAGAGTTTACACGTTCGCTGTTGCATTTTTAAAGTTATACGTCTAATGCATTTTCTGTAAAGAGATGCGGGTGCATTTCATGATGTTGAATGTTGTTACAATATTACGTATCTATTGTTGTTGTTTTATTCAGTGCAATGAACAAAAAAGTAATGCAGGAAATCCTATAACCACCACCATCTGACCCGACGCGCTGTTACTGGAATAAACTATTCATTCGTTTATAATAGTGTTTGGTTCCATTTCATTATTCATAATCAACCGCAGAAATGCTGATACGGAAAAGCGGCCAAGCCCTGATTCCTGACTGTGCGCCGAAACCAAACCATGGACAGGAGTTCACGGTCGTTATCAATTAGATTTGATTTAGATTTAGTTTTAATTCCATTTGTTACAATGGATATTCTTTGCTGTGACATACTGTCTGTTTTATTTTGGCCAAATCTCCCCCTGTGCGCAAGGAATGGCCGGAAATACCACTCACTGGCCGGGCGTGGGATTGAACGCAGGTCCGCAAGATTGCTAGACCAGCACCTTACCGCTGCGCCAGAACAGCATGCAATTACTTGTTGGTGATAAAGCCCTCGTTTTTCACCAATTTGCTTCGTTATCAGAAATATGTATTTAGGTATAACAGTGCGATATTCACCTGAAAAAATACTTGCCGTCGCTTAAAATTGAAGACATAATTAGAGCGGATGGGAAGTAAGGACACGTCGCCGTCTGGGTGCATTTGAGCCCTGACCTTGAAGCAGAGACAGGGTCAGTATTGTGCATTGATGTAAATCAGAGAATTCTTGGAAGGATTTAATATGTATGAACATTCTCTCCCTCTGCCTGTTATGGCTACACACACACACACACACACACACACACACACACACACACACACACACACACACACACACACACACACACACACACACACACACACACACACACACACACACACACACACACACACACATATATATGTATTTATAGTATGTATGTATGTATGTACACACACACACAATATATGTGCATATATATATATATATATATATATATATATATTATATATATATATATACCACCCACCCACACATGTATAATGTATGTATGTATATATGTATATGTATATATATATATATATATATATATATATATATATATATATATATATATATGTGTGTGTGTGTGTGTGTGTGTGTGTGTGTGTGTGTGTGTGTGTGTGTGTGTATGAATATGAATATGTATATGTATTTGTATATGTACACACATACACACACCACACACACACACACACACACACACACACACACACACACACACACACACACACACATATATATATATATATACATATACATACATGTATGCATGTATAGATATAAATTTGAATGAACAGATGCTGTTAGTGTCGAAATGGCCTGACGAATGATAATCTTTGCACAGAAGAAAAGTATTTTCTGGTAACTAGTAATAAGTGTTTCTTTAAGTACCGCCAGTTTTTTGTCATAATTTCCTCACACCTTAAAATAAGAAAGGTCTATCAAGGAACCTAGCCTCCCCCCCCCCCATCGCCAGTGGCCACTTATGAAGACTTTGCCAACGACGTAATAATCTGATCTATCCAGTACTTACATTTTATCCACCCTCGTCACGCTCCTAATATTCGTGCCAAGAGTCAGCCATTTATCGCAATCTTTATGAAATTCAGGCAAATAAACCATATAAATATCTGAAATCTCTGACAAAACTTCTCTTTTTTTCAAAAGACCCAGAGGCTATGTTGTATCATCAGGTGACATTCAGCATAGGTGTTCTCTTAATTACAGCAATGATATATACCCGGCGAGCCCAATAAGTGCATGGCGAGATAATTATACATCAACAACGTGGGATATGTCAGTGCTTGGTGGTGTTTGGTGTCAGTTCAAGCAGTCTTACGTCGGCCTTGAACAGAGGCAGGCAAGCAACCAGTGCTCTCCCCTCGGATCTACAATACAAAGTTAGTTGTTTGTTGTGCTTGCAATTACTTTCTGAAGATCATTATGATGGTCTTTGAGAGTAGTTGTAATAGTAGTAATTGTAATAGTACCAGCGGTAGAAGTAATAGCATTAATATTAATTAATAGTAATGGTAGTAGAAGTGGTAGAAGTAGTGGCAGTAGTAGCAATAGCAGTAGTAGTAGTAGGAGTTGCAATGGTAGTAGTAGTAATAGTGTCAGCTGTAGTCGTTGTGATAGCAGTAGTAGTAGCAGTAGTAAAAAGAGTAGTAGTAGTAGTAGTAGTAGTAGTAGTTGTGGTAGCTGTATAAGTAATAGTAGTAACAGTAGTGGTAGTAGCAGTCTCAGCAGCAGTTGCAGTAGTGGTGGTAGTGGTATCAGCAATCGTAGTAGTAGGAGCAATAGTATTGGTAGCAGTAGTAGTAGTGGCAATAGTATTGGTAGCAGTAGTAGTAGTAGTTGTAGTAGTAGTAGTAGTTGTAGTAGTAGTAGTAGCAATAGTATTGGTAGCAGTAGTAGTAGTATTAGAAGCAATAGTCGCAGTCAGTAACAATGCCTTTCTTTGTTATCTGTTTACGAATTCGTTCATTGGCTTCAGACTTCCAGATGAAGAGGTGGGGCAAGGGAGAGTACTGGGGCGTTGGCTCCGACTACGACCCCGACTGGCTGCTGACGGAGAGCCAGAAGAAGCTGCGCGACGACCTCATCGAGCTGTGCAGGACCAAGATCAGACCACGTGCTGTAAATAATCGTAGAAATTAGTAAAGAAATACGGGCAAATTATGTATCAAGCCCCACCAGTGTATCTTTTCAACTAAAGCAATCAGTGTCTTTCATGAACTGAGGTAGGCCTAGAAATCAACCGAAATTCCAATACAGATGATTTGCAAAGCATTCGGGGGTCTATCCAGATTTTGTACCATCAGGCCGACTACGACAAGAACTACACCTTCCCCCGAGAGTCCCTGAATGCCCTGGCGGAGATGAATCTGCTGGCTCTCAATGTGCCAAAAGAACTGGGCGGTCTTGGGGAGAGCCACGTGGGCGTCTCCATGGTGTTCGAAACCCTCGCCCGCTACGGCTGCCCCTCCTCCGCTATGGTTTACAGTGAGTGCTTAAGGGGGGCTTTGGGTTAGGCGTTAGCGCTGTTTTGTTAGGTGTTTCACACACACACACACACACACACACACACACACACACACACACACACACACACACACACACACACACACACACACACACACACACACACACATATGCACAACATATGTATATGTTTGTGCATATTCATCGTACTTGAACCTCGACAGACATGCACGTAGCCGCCGTGTCCATCCTGGTCTCTGACTGCCACGACAACCCCTACATCCAGGACCTGCTACGGCGCGTCAACAAGGAGAAGTTGGTCGGAACGGTCGCCTACTCCGATCCCGGCACAGGTACGTCATCTCTGGGTCCTTTAGTCCTTTGGTGACTACGTTGGTGACCTGCGAGTTAGATTTAAAGAGAGGGAGGGAGGGAGGAAGGGAGAGAGAGGGGGAGGGGGATGGGGAGGAGGGAGGGAGGAGAGGGAGGGGTGGAGAGAGAGAGAAAGAGAGAGAGAGAGAGAGAGAGAGAGAGAGAGAAAGAAAGAAAAGCAAAGAAAGAGAGTGAGAAGGAGTCATTGCCGTATATATTGATTAAAGTATAGGCAAGGCATTACCGGACTTCTAAGTGAGAGCGATGTAGTGTCATATATAGTGATTAGAGTATAGGCTAAGTGCATTATCATACCCTTAAAAAAAGCATTACCAGATTTCTAACCATGTACAGGGAACAAAGTGAAAGAGAAATCGGAAAATGGCGTCTACCAGCGGGCGCCTTTCAAAAACAAAAATAAGTTCCTGCAATTTCTGTCTCCTCAGGAAGTCATTTCTGGTTTCCGCTGTCGTCGAAGTGCAAGTACGTGGATGAGAACACAATCCAGCTCTTCAAGTACTGCTCGTGGGCGACCAGCTGCGGCCACGCGGACTGGTACACCATCCAGACCATCAGCCCGGATTTCGATGGCGACTACTCCAGGCTGACTAACTTCCTCGTGTACAAGGTGATGCCATACTCCTTTGTGTGAATGGTATGTTTGAAAGGAATGATCAGAAATGTCCCTTTTGGCCGTACGATTTCTGATGGTAGCTCTCCTTTGTGAGAATGGTATGTTTGAAAAGAATGGTCAGAAAAGTCCCTTATACCCTTATAATTTCTAATGGAAACTCGTATGCAGAGGAGAAATCAACATAGGTTTTTGCATGCTCATTTTCCTTCACTTTAGGACGAAATTCGCACCAATACCGACGACTGGAAAGCCCTGGGAATGCACGGCAACATGTCGGGTCCGATCGTCATCGAGGGAAAGTTCCCAAAGCAGAGGATCATTGGGACTCCCGGTGAAGCGAAAGAGGTCAGGGAAAGAGGTCACGGTTGGTATGATACACGGTGGTAAAAATCTGATAATTTTGAAATGAAGCAGATTAGAGTTTACTGATCTCTGGTCTCAGACAATGCCGAGAGTATTTTAACTCGAAATGCTGTGAAATTTCATGTTTCCATATTTGGTCTTCTATCCGATTCTGGAATGAAATGCATCGTTTCTTATTAAGTAGAGCAACGATGAGTGTGCTCCCTTGTCCTTCCTGACAAATTCTGCAATATGGAACGGCATCGCCCTCGCCTGCATCGACGTGGCCAAGAAGCACGTGACCCGCAAGGCGCACGCCGACGTGGGGATGCGGGTGTGCGACTACCCGACCATCCAGGTTAGCACGATGTTAATCAGCTCCTATTCTAATCTATTTCTCCCTATAAATTTACATCATATATTCCCTGATACTTTTGTAATTGATGGTACTTGATATTTTCAGGACTACTTTGGAGAATGTATGTGTGACACGAATGCGTCACGGGGTCTGACATACCTGGGGGCTCAGGCACTCGATGAGAACGCCGTCAGCAGCAGTACCTGCGAGTCAAAGAACAAACATCGATTCGGCAGGTACGCGAATACCCACGAAGCATATCTCTCGAGTATATGGCCAAAATAAGCCTTTTTGTTGCCTAAGGTCTCTATATAATTCGCTGTAACTTGAACACCTATCTTTCAAGGGGCAAGTCTGCACACTGGCTCTTCCAGGCGAAGCTCATATCAGCGAAGAATGTGTGGAAAGTTAGCGACAAGATGCTTCAGGCTTGTGGCGGATCGGGCTATAAGGTAAGTGTCTCGGAGATCCTGTGAACACTTCTGCTGCTTCATAACCAGGTGAATAACCAAGAACTGTATGCCTAGAAATTCAGTGCTTATCTTCGGCGATATTAGGGTAAGACCGACATTTTCACAGTGTCCAAAAGTCAAAAAGGCATCTTTATGAATAGAAATCTAAGCGGCTTAAGTGGTAATTCTTGTTCTTGACTATACCACGACAGACAGATTTAGGCTTGGAGAGGCTTTTCCGAGACGGCAAAGCTGGATGGGTGATGGCTATCTCTAACGAGGTCGTGAGACAGTTTGTGGGGAAAACGCTACTCGAAAATCTTGAGGCTGTTGATTTTTGGTGAGGAACAGCCTTCTGTTATTTCGTATTTCATCCAGAATGAATAAGCTTTATGCTTTTATGGCGTAAAAATATGTGGTTATTACACTACAGAGAAATACATGTAGTAAGTAAACGGGACACTGGCGTTCACAAAACACTCTGTCACCTGTTAAACGTAATTCACAGTTGCGTCTTGTACTACAAGATAAGAATCAACTAAAATACACACATTCTACATTTTTCCGTTTTACATCATTCCGCAACACTCCACCAACCTAAATAACACGCAGAAGCTTCTCCTGACGCCTACGAAGCTAGCATTCCTTCCCGATCTTCGATGACAGCCTTATTTCTCTCTCTCTCTCTCTTTCTCTCCTACAGGGAACAGAAGGCCAACGAGCGAGTCCTCCACCACGAAGTCCAGAAAATGAGGATCGACGAGCGAAAGAAACTCGCCCACGAGCTCCTGGAGGACGCGAGGGCGGAGGAGGAGGGCAAAGAAGCCAGGCATCCCTTCCAAGACTCCGATTTCGACAACCCTTTTAACACGTGTCCCCCGGCGGCCCTGCATAAGGTCAGGAGGCTGAAGGATCGAAAAGCTACACGTGGTTGATGATCACCATTATTGATATTATTGGGATCATTAATGTTTTGTGTTCTGTACTTCCAAATCGAAGCACATGGCTGATGAAGATGAAATAAAGGTCGTTAGTCACGCATATAACAATCTATTTTTCTTTAGGTACTGAAGACCGAAGACGGCGTGACGCATGAACCAGCCCTGAAGCCAGATACTTGGGTACTACTCACCCTGAAGTCACGTACCCAACTCAACGACAAGATGGCCGCGTTCGAGTTCTCTCTTCCGAAGCCCACGGACCACACTGGTTGCTTCCCAGGCCAGTACGTGAGGGTACGTTGCTCATGACTGACCCGTTATTATGGCTTCTTGTGCTTAAGTGAAATGAGTATTTCCGAACTGGAAATACTTTAATTCTCAAGTAATGTTGAATGATGCAGATTTAACTATTTTTCGGTGTGTTATTGTCCAAACTTATAAAGCCTTTGGGATTTATATTAACATTCCGAATGAATACTGATCCGAAATGTGAACCGCCAGTAAGACTTACACGAGCCTCTTCCCTGTGACCTGTAATCGCAACAGGTTCGCGTGACCTTCAGAGGCAAGGAGCAGGAGCGCTACTTCTCGCCCGTGTCGCGTCCGGACGACTTCGGGCGCATCGAACTCGTGCTCAGGTTCGAGACCCACGGACAGATGTCTCAGCACTTTCAGGCTCTCAGGCCAGGTGGGTCTGGAGCATGACATGAATCCTTTGGCTGATAAAATTAACTGAAAAAATATGATTATCTATTGCTCGTTTTACTTTTTTTTTTTTTTTTGGCTGTCTATCATTATGAATTCATGTGGTCATTTACTCTATTGTAGTAATTATAGTCTATGTAGTCTCCCTCCGTGCCTGTTGATACCTTTTGCGTGATGACGAATGTTTAGGGATTTTGTGTTTCTATGAGACGTGTAGCTTGGCATGACAAACTTTCAGGAGACCAGGTGGAGTTCCAGGGCCCTTGCGGAGGCTTCGAGTACGAGGCGAACCAGCTGGACGAGGTGACGCTCCTGGCCTCGGGCGGAGGCATCACCCCCGGCATGCAGCTCATCCGCGCCGTCATGCACAACCCCGACGACAAGACCAGGATCAAGCTCCTCTACTTCTCAGAGAACTACGACGAGATCCTCTACCGGGAGGAACTTGATGGATATGCAGGTCAGTACAACAGTCGAAGGAGCCGCCTTTAATTCCAATGACATTACTCCATCATTATATATTGTATACGTGTGACAGAGGAAGTATTTATTGAATAAAAAAGGACGAAAAGTCATGCCAGCACGTAGCCAAAACCGAACAATGAAAAGTATATGGAGATTCTTTAGAGATAAGTAAATAAACTTTCCATTAACGTGAGACCAACACCTCGCAGCCAAGGACTCTCGGCTGCAGATGGTGCACACGCTGGGGGAGTCGCCCGAAGACTGGGAGGGCGAGGAAGGCTTCATCGACACGCACATGATCGACAAGCACGTGACCAAACCCGACGGCATGAGGCAGAAGGTATGTCCTCATGAATTAAGACATAAACCACAGTCCACCGTATTCATGAAGCCCACAAACACACAAAAG